ATCCAGGAAAACACCACACCGCCAGGTAAAACAGCCCTGGGCAAAGGTCAGATGAGGCTTTGACAAGAAATGTACAACCAGAGAGAAGATGCTACACGTGGGTTGCTTTGCCAGCGAATTGTCTCAAGCTATGGGCTTCAGAGGCAACTGCAATGTCAAGACCCCAGCATAAAGAAGTCATCACTGGGATGGTGGCAGGTACTGTGACAATGGCCTGGGCATCAGTATTGTGGCATGACAGGTAGCTTCGGGTAACTCTTGTTTCTTCACCCTGTCACAAATTCCATGATTCTTTTCCTGACTTTCTGCTGTTGGCAACTAAAGTATGACTGACTCAATGAGGGGAGAGTTATAACAATCATTAGGCCCCTAAGGAAATGAGAGCCCTGACGTGGCAGAGCTGGTGGTAGCTCTGACTCTCCAGCAATGTTGTAGGCGCAACACTGACAGCCAAGGGCACACATGGGCCGAGCTGGAACAGGCCCTGCAGAAAAGCTTTTAGATTGTGGAGATGCTCCCACCAAACTACGTGAAGGTCACAAGGCATCAAAGACCTCAGGGTAAGCCGTTTCCATTTTCAGACACCGCTCACATCACAGAAGTATCGTCTGAAGGCCAGGGTTCCAGTCTACCCTCCTCCATCTTCCGTTCACTCAATCCCATTCTAACCCCTCTCTTCTAGAATCCAAAAGGCCATGAGGCCTTGCAGACTGCACTGCTCTGGGATAATCAGATCTGGGGGCAGGAGTTCTCTCCCCTCCTGCCTCTTTTCCCTACCCTCCGCTTTCAGCAATGTACAGGCACCAAGAAAAAATGATAAGACATTTATTGAATCATCTACAGCAGTTTGACATCCTTAAAATCCCAGACAAGGTGTGAGCACGGCGTTAACAGAGGCAGCAGTAGCGGTGAGGTCCACGGGATTTATCTTTGTTGTGGGAAATTAAACCCAGACTGGTCCAGCTCCCATGAGTGGGCCTGGAACTAATCTGGAGTACCAAGGGCTGAACCAAGCCAGCCCTGACAGACGCAAAGCCTCAGAAGACAGACAGCAGACAAAACACACACGGCTGAGTACAGACACGCCACAGGACCTGGAGTTCGGGGGGGGGGGGAGAAAGAATGGGCATTTGCCCCACTTGAGGAATGTCTCATACGCTTGGAGGATTCCTAGGCGGATGGCACAGAGGTGCTCACAGCACTCACAGAGATCGTCCCATCCTTACCCTCAACGCAAACTGAACAAAGTGAAGACAACAAAGCTGGAGTTTAATGTCCGTCCACCCAGGGCCCTGTGGCCTCACCCTCACCCTTGCTACTGGTGGTTTTACAACTGGGCAACAGTTAACCCAAGGAGGCTCAATACAGTAGACTGGTTACAAGGGACACCGTTCAAGGGTGTTCACCCTAAGAATGAGCACACAGCTGTGTGGTTTTCAGAGCTGGTAAACCAGCAGGGAGCATTTCCCTTCCACCTCATCCCTAGATAGGGGGTAGATAATGCTATAACCATGGCCATACCATTGCAGACTGGGGGTTGACAGTACGGATGGAGTACCAGAACAGTCGGAGAGGGCCAAGTTTGCTAGCAGGTATCTTATACCACACCAACTCCATCGTCCCTCCTGTGCTATATCACGGACTCTGGGACATTATGCAGGGGCAGCCACTCCTGCAAAAGGTACAGTGTATTCTGTGACTGCTTGGAGTGCTGTATCTGGCCCACATGCAGGGCTGTGCAATGCTGGTAGGGCCACATTCTCATTCAAAAACATTCTAGGCCCACCTGCCTCCTCGTGAGCCCATGGGGAAGGTTCACCCTTCAGATCTCCAAGGTGCTCCTAGCTCTAACAGTCTTTGAGTTTCCCCTTATAGGGACAAGTCAAGGTCAAACAGCAGGTAAGTGCTCAGCTGGGGAAGCCCAAGTCCCAGGGTCCCTGTTCACGGCTCTTCCAGCTGGTTTCCAGGCCCCCTAGACTCAAGTGGCATCTATGGTGTCACAGTACTTGCTGCCTTCTCTTTGTAGGGGCAAAGGGTATACGAGGGATTAAAGTGTCTCTCACAGCTTTTCCTCCAAGGAAGAGAGGGTACAGACCAATCAGAAGAGGTCTTGGTGCTGGGTGACAGATGCAGGGTTATTTCCAGCACAGGGCCCTGATCAAGTCAGCCCAGGGAAGATGGGGTTAGGGCCTTCCCTCGCTGAGGGCTCCTGAGCATGTCCAGATGAACCTCACTGCTGCACACCGAGAGGGTAGTCAGGTCTGAAGTGTGGTAGATGCCAAGGTTCAAAACCACAGCACCTCCAATTCCCTGTGGCTTCCCGGAACTCTAAGCATTCCCAATGGAGAATCCCATTTTGTGAGGACCAGACCCTTTTCTGACATTTCCTGCTTACCCTGTAGCTGAACAGTCATGACAGGAGCTGGGATAAGACAAGGTTGTCCTTCCCCCCTAACGGTCCGTGAGATCTGGCCTTCGGAGTTTCATAGAACAAGACCCCACTCCCCAGGAATGATCTCCTACAGGCCGGGCGCCCCTTGGATCTGTTCTGACACTGCCTCAGGGTTTCTCAGTCCATGAAGCCCTTTTCACCCACCAGACAGCATTTCTTAATCATGTTCCCTTCTCTGGGTCCAGGCTGTATTACTGCAAGCCTTGACTGGAGCCCATTCCAAGAGAAGATGGTTGTTGTTTAGACAGAGCCGCAAAGGTACACTGGGCTACACACAAATCGGTAAGTCTTACTGCTTGCACTATAGACATAAGGAGGTCAAAGGGGACGGGTTTTCCCAGCCTTGTGCCAACCCTTCACTGCCTGTGGCCTAAGAGCCAGACCCTCCTAGAACATGCAGAATCCTGCATGTACATCTGCTCACAAGACTAGCAAAATAATAATATTAATACTAATCCTCCAGACAGAAAAAACAAAGCATCTGCAACTTGTAGACTCAGGGCTCAGGAAGCAGCGAGGGCTCAGGGAGCAGCGAGGGCTCAGGGTTGATCTGGGTTTTGCTGTTTTGCAGTGATAAACTAGAAAGTCACAGTTTCTTCCTCCACAGTGAAGCAGGACCCTCTGGTGGAGGTGAAGACAAGTCAATGGGGTTCATAGCCAGGGGCCACACCTTAGACAGAGGGTGCCTCAGGCCCCCTGCCCCTGCCCGGCCTAGAAGACGAGCTCTGCACATCCTATCCGAGGCCCTGTTCAAATGACCATAGCCTGAGCTTTCCTCTGCTCTACAAACTTGCACTGTGCTATCCAAATGGCAAAATAAGCAGAACGCCACTCCCCTCACTACAAACATGCACATGCGTGCACACAACATGCGTGCACAGCCCTTGAAGGATACGCACAAAAAAATACATGTCTGTTTACCTGCCTTGGTTTTTAACTAATATTGAACCTGGAGAAACACAAGAAAACACCTCATTTCACAAACAAGGACGCTTTGGCCCAGCACAGTACACATGCGTTTATGGTCACAGCGTTCTGAGTCAATGGGAATCCTGAACCATGGCTTCCTCTAAACAGCTCAGGCTCCCTAGTAGTGTCCAAAGCACAAGGTGATCAACTGATTCTTATTTGGCTAATAACCTGATTCTCAGAACAGAAGAGGAGCTAGGGAGGGGGATACAGTTTGGGTCAATGGGTCAATGTACACTTAGTGGCTGGTCCAAGCCACCAAATATTTCTGGGAAGGAACAAGGAGGTGCTTTCCCCTTCTGGCTTTGCCAAAGATCCGAAAATTGAATTCACTAGTCAAGAACATAGAACTCAGGTGTACCATATCAACTAGAACCTTCTCCTGGCTTTCTAATGGCTCCTCCAAGCAGCACTCTCTGATCTCCCATAGTTCCTTCTACTTAATAGAAAGGCCAGCAAGGCAGCACCCCATGCTCCCCATGCATTGCAGAGCACGGTCATGAGCAAGTCCCCAGAGACAAAAACAAACATCAGTGTGGAAAGAGCTGAGCCACGTGGCCCATGGCACTACTTCTCTCCCTCTGTCTTCCCAAATTTGGGTGTGGCCTTCTTTTAAAATCTTAGGTCATGGCTGTGCAACTTACAGCTGGAGAGTCAAGATGGGGGCTAGAGAGCCACCACTCCACCCATCATCTGTAGCTTCTGCTCATGCGCACGACAGAAACAGCATCCCCTCCAAACACTCTAAGAGGCGTGCGCACACGTGATTCAAATGTGAAGGGGACATGGAGGAATTCTTGCAGACATCAGAGTTTAGTAATGGAGTCCAGGCTGGGGGCGGCTTCTACAGTTCCTTGTCGTCAGTAGAGGTGTAGCTGTGGACCCAGGACTTGGCTTGTGGAAACTGATATGACTGTGAGGTGGCTGGTTCGTTCTAGACATGGCTTTGACTTTGGGGGAAATTGAGAGAGGAGAGCTAAGGGGCTCTCTGTGGTTGGCAAGGCTGGAGAACGGCTTCTTCAGACCACCCACTGTAGGCAAGAAGGGTAGAAGTGAAGCTACCACACGATCAAGTCTTGAGTCAGGGCACAGCTATCCCATTTCCTCCCCAAATGCATCTGTATTCTTGGCTCTCAGCTCTTAGATCAAATGAAAAGCACCAGAACGTTCCCTGACCCTCACCCCACCCCAACTTAAGTCTTTGATTGAAAGAGCCCTGTAGCCCTCCCATCATCCAGGCACACAGGAGCTGAGTACCTGGACAACCTAGATGTCAGGTAAGCAAAAGGAGCCTCAGACTGACCCACTCTAAAAGATGCTCTGGCCCCTTGAGCTATATCCCTGGCCAACTGTAGTACTTGGTACAGGCTGAGAAGGTCCCACATCCAAAGTCAATTTAGTGAAAGGCTTCTGGGGTGGGTGCTACCCCAGCTTCTCCAAAACAGGCATACTTCAGCCTCAGCTCACAAGGCTTTGTGCCTAGGATCAGGTCATCACTGAAGCTGGCCTTTGACATAGCAGGTCAAGCTGGAACCTGGCAAAGATGAGCAAGGGCATGGATTTGGGGGAGAGATGGGGCAACTTTCCAAATTTGAGGTGTATTTACATGTCAAATTGAGCTCAATGGACCACAGTAGATGGGACCCAAAAAGGAGGAGCAATATCAGCTTACACCCTATCTCTCTTCCCCCTTGGGGAGGAGCCCAGCTTCCTACTCAGGGCCTGCCCAAGGAGAGAGGGGAGGCACAAACGTGCGCAGGCACCGGCCTGCAGCCCCGGCCTGTGCAGGAGAAGGGAGACAGGGCTCAGGTAGCTAAGTTGTCAGCCGGGAGGCTGGACATGCGGAGCTGGGAGCTGCTCTTGCTCAGAATGGACAGCTGGGTTCCTCCATTCACTCCACTGCTGGCCAGGGATGGGTGCCGGTGCTTGAAGTCCATTGTGAAGTAACGGTTCACCTTCCAGCTCCGCCATTTCCTCTTAATTTCTGCCTGTACCTGCAATGAGCAGTGTGGATGTGAATTCCCAGTGAACATCTTGTATGCCTTGGCCTGGTGCTTTCCCAGCTGCCATCATGGCTATTATCCACCCACCCAACTCCTACTTCCCAGCTGTATCCTGCAGCCTCGTTCTAGTCCATCTTGGCAAGGTCTTCGGGCAGCTTCCTGCTGTCTGGGCCTCTCAGAGACCAGTCCTTTGGAACTGCCAAAGAGAATTCTCCTAGCAACTTCTTGAAGCAAATGGATCAAATAAAGATCATCACCCCTGTTGTCCACTGTCAGATGCATATGAGGTTTACTCAAATAGCTTGAAATATCCCAGATGCCCAAAGCTTATGAAGGGTGATGTCAACATCTCAGGATAAGGCCTAGACACCCACAGCTTTGAACACTTCCAAGGAGAGAAGATTTCTGAGACTGAGAGTTAGAAAAGCCCATGCCTCTTGGCAAACCTCCATGTAGCTCTGCGTATAGTAAATGCTGGCCATGCCAAGAAAACATAGCCAAGCAAGCACCTTTATGCAGTATACAAACTGCATGACTAGAAGCAGCATCTATATCCACTCTCTCCACTTCGTGCCTCCACTCCCTCAGCAGACTCCTGACAAGCTGCCCATAACTCCCACTTAGCTCCCAAGGATTTTTATGCAAGGCCCTCTCTGGGCTCTCTTGATCTGTTATAATCTGTTTGAGGTAGGCCTACTGATCCTGGAACCTTAGTTGTCTTGAGTCTTAGATGCAAACAAGAGGGAGAGCCTGATGAGGCCAAGATCTTTCCACTAAGACCAGAGCCTTGGGGAAAAGACCTCTCTCTACTTGCAAACCCATCCCCTGGAGCCAGTCCCCACACTTCCCTGGCACCTCTCTCCTGGGTTCTGCTCCAGAACATTACCCCAGCAGACTAGATAGAGAAGTATGTCCAAATGCTAGCTCTGGGAATGAAACACCTCAGGAAGGCTCCAGGTTTCTCCTTAGGACCTCTTCCAAATTCTCACAGGCTCTTTGCTAGCGGGGACAGTCAGGCTGACTTACCATGGCTCAGCGGCTCTACACATCACAGCCTGATAACCTGTAGGTACTAACTCCTGCTCACTGAGGCACGTCCCATGGATGTGCTCTGGAGGTGCGCTCTCCGCAGGCCATGCCTTCACCAATGTGCTCTACCTACTCTGTCTTCAGTTTTGGCCTTAGTTGTAGAATTGGAGTGACCCTGCAACAGGTGGGTCTGGTGCCACACAACACTAGCATCTACGTCACCTATCCTCAGCACTGGGAACCCGGAAGGTCCCACCTGAGGGATCTGCTCCCAGTCTCGCCCCAGCAAAGCCCACCTGTACTGCTGAGGAAGGGGGGAAACCGTGTCTTACCTCCCCATTCAGGAAGCAGTAGAGCACGGCCACCACGAAGCCCTGGGGAGAGAACACAAACTACCATGAGCCTACCAGCAAGGGACCTCATGAGACACTGTGGGCAGGTGGGAGGAAGGGCAGTGGAAAAGATGCCAGAGAGAAGAAAGCCATCACAGTCTAGACAGGGTACACCTGTGCAGGGCTCTACAGCAACGTGGAATGCATCCTGCTGCTCTAAGACAGGCACGTCCACAACGCCAGATGACTGACAGACCGGTCCCCACGGACATACATCTCATCTTGGTTCCCACATCCACGTGGCCAAATCCTTCCCATTGCTGAAGACTATCTTCAGCCCTAGGGAAGCTGCTCGCCCTTTCTAGAGGAGCCAGAATGTTCTCTGGGCTCTGCTACTAGTCTGCAGGCTTCTGAGAACAGGACTCCTTCGGAACAGAAGAGACCCATATGATCTTATCATCCCTACCCCTGCTCTGCCCTCCCTTGGCAAGCTGCTTCTATACACAGCAAAGCAAACCGTGTGTGGCAAGTACTTGGCAGAGCATGGATTTAGCTCTTCAGCACAAAACAAAGCACCCTTTCGCTGAATGCTGGAAACTGAGTCTGCAGGACCTCACTACCCTAGGCTGTCATTTGAAATGTCAAAGGACTTACTTATGACTTGACTGTACCAGCAAACATAAAGATGGGAGCCTTGGGTTGTCATTCCAGGGTTAGAGCTTTATCTGTAATGCTCCCAGGCTCACCAGAATGTGAAATCATGGGAGTTAGGGCTTTGAATTAAAATTCAAGTCAGTTGGGCAGAGTAATTTCTGACCATGAAACTCAAATGCCAATTTAAAAATGTGGCTTAGGGAGAGCTGCCCCCTTTTACAACCTGCCACCATTAGTGCCACCACTCACTTCCTAGCTGTGATGCATGCATACATTATAGCCATGCCTGCACATACACTTACTCTGTTCCTCTTCTTGCCCCCATACCCATTCATTTAAGGATCTGTCCAGGTACCTCCAGCCCATTCAGTTCTGTGTCAGGCCCTAGACTGGGGTCCCCTGCACCAGGGACTCAGGGTGGATAAGAGAACTCCAGTCCTTATGTGGCTGGAGTGCAGGGCTGAAGTTGGGATGTGGACACAGCACAGGGGTCTTAAAGTCATCCCTTATCAGGGGCTTTATAGAGCTCTTTTATCTCAAGTTCCTCAGGGCACCTGGGTCAGGATCCCCTAGCACAGTGACAGCCAGACTTAGAGCAGCAGAAAGGACTGTAGGGGACTTATGCTGCAGCACTCATGTCAGAGACCAACACTGAAGTTAGAAGTCAGGGTTCACAGGGTAATGGAGCTGGCAGCAGATCAGAAGTCAGGGCTTAGCTCCCAATAAGCTATGTCCTTCCCATGCATCGTGCCTACCTGGAAGGAGCCTAGTCCAAGCTCAAACACAAGTCTTTCCCTCTTGCTGACGTTCTCTGGAGAGAAGGCGAATACTGTGTAGTGAATTCCAAACAGGGGGATGAGCAGGAGGGTGGAGCGAGCCAGCCTTCTGTCAGGAGAAAGCAAAAATCTGCTCAGGGGACTGCAGAGCTTGGGAGCAGGGAGGGCAGAGGGCCTGTCATCGGCCCTGACTACCCCTCAGTGTCCCTGTTCACAGACTTGCTTGGTGTCCTTTACTGGTGCAAGGGGTCTAGGTGTAAGGGAGTCAACTAGAGCCCAGGGTTCCTAGGATGTTGAAAGGAGGCTTCCTCAGTCTGCAGGGTACCTAGTCAGTATCTTACAGGGCCACTGAAAATGTATCATTTATAGGGTCCCTCGCATAGTATGTAATTCAGAGGAAAATTCAGGATAGGATTCCAGAGTCTTGAGCCAAAGTAAACCTGTCCTGGCTCAGAAGGAAGTTGCATGACTTCAAAACCAGCTGCCTGAAGACATAGAGATAGGGCTTTTCTGAGTCTGGGGATAACTAGGGACACTTGGGAACAATGTTGATGACTAGAAAGGAGGGTACCAGGTGGACCACAGGGGAACATGGGAGAATTTCAAGGAAGGACTTGCTGGTTGGGCAGAAAATCTACCTGCACAGAAGAGAGCTGCTGCCCCAGAAACTGAGTCAAAGGATGAGGTCCAGCCTAAGGATGGTTTAACAAGAGAGCTCACCACGCCTCCTGAGACCCTCTCCTGCTCTTAGCTCTTGCAATAGAGCCAAGAGTAGGGTAGGGCCCTTTCTAACCATACAGGGACAGAAGAGGTCTGCAGTGAGAACATTAGGCACACATGGGCTGGGAATTGCATTGGAGGGAGTGAATTCTTACAGGGGCTTCCCTGAGTGGGCCCATCTCTCCACATCCCAGGACACTATGCACCTACCAAAGAACCCAGGTGTCCTCTGCAGGTGTTTTCCCCTCAGATGTATCCAGTGCCAACCCCCCCTACCCCAGGACCATCAGCCTCACACTACCCTGTCACAGCTTAGCCCTCAGAAGTAGACAGTAAACATAAGGATCACCATTTGACTGGGGGCGATTCTACCATGTGCCACTCATCTCCCACTCCCAATGTTTCTGGGGGGAGGGGGGAAGCATCCCATGTTGGACTCCGTATTACTAGAAAAGCCAAATCTCTAGGTTCCGAACAAGGTCCTTGGTGCCCCAACTTCTATGAGAAGGAAGACAAGAAGGAGGATTGGGGAGAGGAAGAGACAAGGAAAGAGAGCAGGGGAAGAGGGAAAGATGAATAGAAGTTTGAGGTGATCTTTAGGAGAAGCCTCAGCCCAATAAGGAGGAAACCCACAACTGTAGGGCTCACAGTATCCACCTTGCTCGAAGGCAGCATATTCTGTTGTCACTGAAGGTCCTTAGACCAGGACAGCGTGAATGGGATGTGAGAGATGCAATGAGCCCACCTGGGTTGCTAGCAGTCTGTCCTCATTGCTGTCTATACCTGTCGGCCCTGAAGAGGGTCCTCTTTTATCTGTTAGGTCTCGCAGCAAGTACCTTCAGGCACACAGTCAACACTTGAAATGCCTGTTCCATGGAAGAGCAGCAGGGCTGCCAGGTGCACGAGCTAGTCCTTAAAAGCCAGGATCTCCCGGGTACCAGGTCCCCCCTGCCTCTCAGGGCCCAGGATCGGGCACCAGGAAGCAGCATGGTGTGCCTGAGGACAGAATGGAAGCTGGGAGAGCTGGGAGATGTGCCTACAAAAACACATGCATGGCAGATCCGCGGATCCTGTTGGGTCCTGAGCAGGTTAGGGCCCGGCTTTCCTCCTCCACCTTCCCCTCTACAGCGGTCCCATTCCTAGTTCTTGCTCCAGCAGAGTAAAAGGAACCTGGGGACCAAGATGCTAAGCCCCGCCAGTGTTCACAGTAGTATTCCATGTCTTGGGTTCAGGCTGAGAAACTGGCTTTCAGAAATAGTGTCAGACCCTTCCCAGCCACAGGGCAGATGTGGAACTGAATAGCGTTTCTCAGGGTGTGACCCAAGAGCAGTATCCACCCTCCCACAGCTCTGAAGCAGGGATGACAACTAGGGGACTCAGAACACCTCAGAGGTGCTTGGCAGACAGGGCAGTGGTGACAAATGAGAGGCTTCATGAACCCAGTGTGTGGGCCCTGTAGATGTCTGAGCTGACTGTCTGGGAATGAGAATTTGCAGGCAAGCTTTAAGCCTTGAAGTGTGATTAACCCAGAAAGACAGTGACATGGCCTCTACCTCTGATTGCCTATCCTGAAGAGCCATCAATAGGAAGAAGAGTCCTACAGTCCCAAGAAGAGCTTCTGGTGCTCAGAGCCACCCAAACTATCTGTGGGTTACAGGAAGGCCACGCCTCTTACAGTGTGGGTGTCATAGGGGACCTGGGGTATGATTCCTAGGATGCTGTAGGTTCCAGACCTTGCCTTCCCAGCCATGTGACTTACTGCACCTCATCATGCTCCAGGTTCCTTGTCTAAAACATGGAGACTGCAAGAAACCACCTTACAGGGTCCTTGTGGAGACTGAACTTAGCCTAGTAGCACACGTGCTCGACACATAGTGAACTCATCCCCTCTCTTGGCAGTTCTGAAACTACCAAGACTAAAGTCCAGAGAAGTGGGGAATCTGAGGAAGGGCGTGCTTCTGTCAGCAGCCACTAACTGCTGACTGTGGAGCGAGGCAGGCGTCAGCAGTAGCCACCAAGTCAAGAGATCCCTGCAATGCCACAGCTCCAATACCCACATGCCGTCGAGCCCCACCCACAAGACTGCAGAGAACTCACGAGACACATGTCAGCATGCAACAGCCAGGAATAGGGTAGGCTGGGAGGCTCAGGGCGGCTCTCCACACTCCTCCAGCCTAGCAGAACACAAGCACAAGGTGGCGGTGGCAGCAACAGCAGCATGCATCCCCCACCCCTCCAGGACACCCGGCCACAGCCTCGGCCACACACACTTACAGAGTAATGGTGGATAGTTCTGACATCTTGCAAGAGTGCTGCTGCTGCTGCGCCCGCTGTGGCTTGCAGTAGCATTTCTGCACGCAGCTGCTGGGTGTGACAAGATTAGCACTTCTGTCAGCTGGGGGGCATTGGGCAATGAAGAAACTGAATAGGACTTGGGAGTTCACAGGGAGGGCAGAGAAGTGAGGGAATGGAGACAAGCTAAGGAAGTCACTCAGAGGAGAAGGAGGAAGCTAAGAACTAAAGGACACAGTCAGCTCTGGACAAAGGAATGCATGTCCGTTAGTATACGTGTATGTACACACACACACACACACACACACACACACACACACACGGGGAGGGGGGCACTAGAAGGCAAGTACTATTAAAAGGCAGGTGTGTTCAGGAGATAAGACCCAAGCAGGGAATGAGACAGGGAGCCGGAGGCCATCTCTGTGTCAGCCCCATACAGAGAGCATGACTTTGCCAAGGTCACACAGTAAGATGAACAGCTGGAAATTCATGCTGTGGGTCTCACGCACAGCTGACAGGAGACAGAGTTCTGGGCTTGTTAGCAAAGATTACCATGGATGTTCTGACCATCTCTTCTTCCCCCACCTCCTCTCAGTGTAAGGAGACAGGAGAGTAGCAGCAGGCCAGACTTAATGGGTTCGTTAGTCTAGACCTGTATTTACCCACTAAGATAGCCACTACCCTAGGTGGTACTCAAATTAAAATTAATTAAAATCCAATCAAATGAAAACTCTACTGTCCCAGCAATCTAGTCACAGTATCAGAGCTTAATAGTCACATTAGGGCCAGCAGTGACCATGCTGAATAGAAAAACACAGGACATTTGGGGAATTACACGGGACAGCACTAAGCTAGACTGCTCCATTCAGGTATATGGACAGGGGCTGAAGGGCAAAAGCCCATGGAAACAAGCACCTTGAGGGGGCAGAACAGGGGCCAGGCCAGGCTGGCTGTGCACCGTGCCGTCCTTAGTCACAGAGGCATCTACCTGCACTCCTGCCTCTGCCGAGACTGTCTGGTCCTGCTCATGCATGAGCTGGCACAAGGCAGGGACACTAGCTTCCCTACCAGAGATCAAGAGTCATGGCACCCAGACAACAAGTTACCTCCCTGTGGAGGGCTCTGGGCTCCTCATACTGGCAAGTGAAAGCATTAATTAGGTGTGGACTAGACGCCAATGCAGACAAGGATGGCAGGAACAATTAGGTCCTTCACACTCAGAGACCTGCCTTGTGACTCCAGCTGAGAGTGGATCTAAAGCACCTGGAGTCTGGGGACAGGTTACTCTGCTGAGGCAAGAATGCGTATTGCCTATTTCCAGAGGAGGCCAATGCCAGCCTGCCCGCAGGCTGTTCCTCTCCAGGCCTGCGGTACTCATTCGATAAATGGCGTCTTTTATTTCCTATCACCTATGAGGTGGGTGCTGTGGGCCTATTTTGTAAGTGTTATTTGATGCCTTGCTACTCGAGGTCTCCCCAGAACAGCTACAGGAACACCAGTAACTTACTATGGTGCCACTGTGGTCTACTGACCTGCAGCTCAGGAACTGCATTTCAGCCTCAGCTTGGGAGTATAACAGAGAAGCCCTACTGCAAGGTATTCATGAGAAGTTTCTTATGTGTTCTCAGTCAATGACAAAGGACTAGATTGTGTGTGTGTGTGTGTGTGTGTGTGTGTGTGTGTGTGTGTGTGTGTTGGCCTGTCTGTCTGTCTGCCTGTCTATTTGTGTCTCTGTCTATAGAAAGAGAGAGAGATCCAAATAAGGAAAATAAAGATCTCTAGGTCTGCAGGAACAGTGGATATTCTTGACTTGTCTTCTCTCTTGCCCAGACCAAGTGGCTAACAACCGTCAACCCTGGCTGAAGTATACAGACAGGGGAAGTCTAAGACCCTGCATATCCACATATCAGTTGCTGTTTCGGCCTTAGCCGAAGCTTTAGCCATCCTTCCCCCCAAACATCTTCTTCCCTCCCCGAAGCTGTCCCATACCCCTCCCTTTTGGGGATCCATGACATTTTACAGATAACAGACTCCTCTGATTTTCCTTTAAAAATTCTTGAAGATAGCCAAAAGACAACTCAGTGACATGTTTACTGGGATGGGTTGCCCTGATGGGAGAGGAAGGTCAAGTCAAGGGACAACAGAGGCAAGGGTAACATCCAGAGGGCTCTCAGGGGAGACTATCCAGAGAAAGGGGGGGAGAGGCCCTCTCCCAAGTCCCTGCCCCGGCCTGCGGCGACTGCAAACAGACTCACTGAAAAGCAGCAGGGTGGGCAGTGGCAGAAGAGCTGAGCAGAGAGGGCGGTGTGTAGGACTCCCAGGGTAACCAGGCAAGAGGGGGGAGAGCTTTCATCTGGAGATACACCCAGGCCAGCCTGGGGGACCCCCTGAGGCCAAGGAAGCACCAGAGACTCAGGAGTGCTCTGGGTGGGCTCCCCCAATCAGAAGATGGAGACCTCTCTTGGTGGGGGGGTGTATTGGGATCTGAGCCCCCTCTGCAAGTCAGGGAGCCTTGGCTGACAGGTCCAGCTCTGACATGGCTTCTCTTCCTCTGTGGAAAGGCCAGAGCTATTCCAGGGACTCAGCTCTCAAGTCTATCCTGGGAATCTGGCACAAAGTTTTTACAGCACCTTTTGTGTGAGGCTCTGGCTGGACTGTAGCCCCAGGGTACTAGACCCCTGACAGCTATCCATGCCATGTGCTGACAACACTCCCATCGAATTCACCTCTGAGCCTAGGAATCCATGTACTACTGCTTCCTTGGCAGTCTATAAGTGATGGTCTCCTGACACTAGCTCACCTGCCCAGTCCGCGGAAACCATTCTTCAGAAATAGCATTCCTGCCAGAAGTATGGCTCTTCACCACTCCCTCCTCCAACAAGGAGACACAGTGAGCCTGGAACCCCAGAAAGCATCCACACCGGGCTCAAGGCTTTGTGGCCACTGACTTATGGGGTGGGATTTTTTTTCCCGGGGTTTCTCAGGATAACAGTTTCCCCAAACCACCTCTGACAGAACTCTGGGGACAGATGCTCATTGATAAGATGGGGTTTATGGGGTGCAGGAACTGGAAGGCCATACCTATAGGCCAAGCCCTTGTCTGAACATCCTGATTGAAGGGCTGCCTGACCACACAGAGCCTGTTCTAGCAGGTGGTGGAGGAATCCTTTTGGGGGGGTGGGGAGAGCTGCACTTAGGTTTTTCCCTCCCCATCTCAGACCTAAGAGGAAACTTCCAATGCCAACCTCCAAGAGTAGAGCCAGATATGGGCACCAAGAATGACGCTAAGAATGTGTATATCATGGCTGGATGGCACCATTCCTTGTCATTCTGAGTCTTCCAGAAAATCTCCTTCTCCTCCACCCTCCAGAGTCAGGGAGTTGTGCCCAGCAGAAACTCAGACTTCAGGCTAAAACAAACAAACCCTGACCAGCCCAGGGTTGAATGCTTGCACAGCCCTAACCTGAACCCCTGCTGACCCTAACCCAGTCCCAGGCTTCCCTGCCCTCCACAGGACCCCACATCCGACAGGTCCTTCAAGATTGAGCCAGGAGCACCTTGGTTGACAGTGGACAAACTCTTAGCATCTGCACAGCTGGAACCAACCTACAGGAAAGGGGGTGAATGCTGGTCTGAGGGCACAGGCAGGGGATCCTCTCGGGCTTTCTTGGGGACTCTCAGTCTTAAATTTGTTCTGGAAACAGAGGAAAAAACCAGAGAGCTGTTGTGGGCAGACCAGAAGGGGCTTTACAGCAAAATACACATATCTGGGATCCCAGGCACAGCCCTGGAATCTCCCATCATGCCCTGCCCACCCCTGCTCTCCCTCCTCCCCATTGCAGTCACCTCCCCTTAGAGCCAGCTTCCCTAAAGCACTGGGAGTGGAGTACTTTTATATGGGGATGGGGGGTGGGGTCTGGAGACTACCAGGGATCTTTATCCAGAAAGCCTTTGATGTTATGTGCTGGCTTCACCCTGTGTTTTCCAATCTGTGGATTCCCTGAGACCAGGAAGGAGGGCACCAGCCTGCTCTGGTACTGACAGTCTGTACTATGGTCACAGCCTAGCCCCTTCCTCCTGGATTCACTGAACTTCATGGAGCACTAGTGTCCTCTGCTGTAAAGGTGGCTTCTAGTAAGGGATAGTCTGCCCACCTTGCCCAGCTGTGCCTGTGAGCATCAACAGTGTGCAAGTGTTTTCTCATGCTCTGCAGCTCTCAGGGGCTTTGTCGCCAGGATCAGTAAGGTCTCCGTGACCCTGGGAACACTGAGACACAGAGCTGAATTCAACAGGATCAAGCTGATCCCTTGTCTAGCCTTAGCCTTGCCTTGGCTTATAGCTATCATCCATATGAGTTTTCAGACTTTGAAACTGGAGGCTATCATATGTTTGTGGTTTTTTTTTCCTACCAAATAGCACTGGCCACACCTGTAAAGAGCTGTTTTTACACTAAGAAAGCAAACCAACTAGCTGCTTCTTAAAAAAAAAAAAAGTTCTGGATCAACATCGGAATATAAATATAAATAAAAACCATATACTAGCTACAAGTGGTTCTTATCTGTGCTTTAGGAAGGCCACCGCTCTTTCCCATCAGGCCATGGGCAGTTGTTGCTGTCTGGGGCAGGGCATTTGATGTGGTAAATGTGTGACCAAGGTTCCCAGAGCCTCATTATTTACTAAGCCTGAGCCCTTGTGTGTGTGTCTGGGCAAGGGCAAAGTGCATAGAAGCTGGAAGGATCTTCCCATCCAGCCCAAAGAAGATGGCTCAGAGGCAGAAGAAGGAGATGCAGATCCGGCCAGGAAGGAGAGGAGACTGAGGAAAGGGGACAGGGAAGGAATGAATTTACATTAACCTCTCGCCAGCTCCAGTGACAAGTGGTGACAGTCCATAGGGGAGCCAGTCTACAAGGCAAGCCACAGAAACTGAGACTGGGCATAGCGACATGGCTTCGCTTCCTGCATTGGACAAGGAGCTGGCAGAGGGGAGAAGGGGGCTGTTTTGTGACTCCCTGAGACAAGGGTCTCTCTCCAGCACAGGGCAAGCAGCAAGAAGTAATGCCTTAAAAAGAGGCCAGGGCTTTTACCAATAATTTCCCATGGCGTCACAGATACAAGGAAGTAGTAATAAATACATAAACAAGTACATAAAAATAGCTACCAAAACATAAATAGACAAGTAAAAATAAATAATAAATAGTCATCCCCCCCCAAAAAAAAAAAACATGGAGCAGGTAGGGGAGGGCAGTAAAATAACCACAAAGGTGTCCTTTTTCAATGTTATGCAGTTATTGCAGAGGCAGAGAACATGTGGTAAATAATACCAGCACTATGCCAACCACTGGCACTGGGATACAATGGTTTCTGTCTCCCCCTAAAGGAGCCCTGAGGGAGGTCTGGGGCTCAGCATCCTATTCTCCCTAAGAGAATGGCTGGTAGGGCCCTCTGCCTCCCTCTCTCTATTGTCCCCTCCATTTTTCCCAGGGAAGCCATCAAGGTTGCGAGCTTCAGGCTGGGTTCATAACAAAGACCCCAGCAATGCTGTAAAGTCCCATGTTCCGCCCCCTCTACCCCAGACTGCTACTATGCCCCTCCAATCTACTTCACAGGGCCTGTGACCTTTCTCTTTGTCATTAGCAGTGTCTCCACATGCCACACCCCATTCCTGAGCCCAAAGGGTGAGTCAACCCAAGCTCTGTCTGATTTCAGAATGGGAAGGGGCTGCGATTGAGGTGGTCATGTGTTTTTAGAGTAGCAACTGCAAAACTACTTCTCGGAACTCAAAGGTCTGTAAGTGGAGCGAAAGCCTTGCACTCAGTGGCAATCACAGAGCTGATGCTCATCTGCTGGGGACAGAGGGGGCTGAGGCAGAAGGTCACACAGATTCAGAGGTGGACAGAGCTGTTCTGAGGAAGGGGGGAGGAGAGAGAATGGCCATGCAGAGGATGAACAAGGGAAAGTCCCCCTGCTGATTGCCAGGCACTTGGCAGCTTCAGCATAGTGGATGCAGGGGGAGTGGCCTGTCCCAGACATGCCTCCAGTGGGTTCTTCTTCCCACAGAACCAGCATCCCCAAAGGAAAGCCAACTTCTAAACAACCAAGACCCTAGCTGCCCCAGGGACTCTGGAGTTCTCCACTGATTTTCCTGCCACCGGAGGCCCTGGAAGTCTCTCTCTTTCCTTTTCCATGCAGTGCCGGTGTAGCTGAGGAGCTCTGCATTGGCTGAGGCCTGGGAGGGCAGCTATAGCCCACAGGCACTTTAATGAGGAAGAGATCTTGCACACACCCATGCTAGGTCAAACTGCCAGCAAAGTTCAAGCTCTGTCCTGCCTGTGACCCTGAGTGCAGGCCATGTGGTCGGAAATGGCTGTGGCGTCCACATATCCACATAACATACTTACAAGTAGATGCTGGACTCGTTGCCTCCCATGTCTGGGGACTGCAGCTTCTGTACCAGGATGATGATGATGCCGATGAAAAGCACAAAGTTAACCTGAGGAGTAAAGGAAAAGCACACTGGAATCTCTGTCCAGCCTGGCATTCCCCACCCTCTCCCTGCTAGGCGAGCTCCCTTGCAGACGTCTAAGCCTCCCACAGAGTCATTCCAATGAAAGAAAAGATACAAGAAAAATAATTCAGTGCAACAACCTGGAAATAGAGAGCACAGGGAGTAAGCCAGGAGACAGCACTGTCTGGAAGAGAAAGGGGAAAGAAGGCTAGGGTGCTAAAGTGACTGAGGAGGTGACTGCACAGGTGACCCCAAGCTCGGCGGATGATGGGGATGCAGGCCTGTAATCCCAGGGCTTGCAAAGCCAAACTAGGAAGATTGTGTGTTCCATGGCAGCCTGGGACATATAGCAAGATCCTGTCTCAGAGACAGAGAGACAGAGGTGGGAACATGGATTGGGAGAGAAAGTTCAAGTTCAGAGTCATGGAATACGGGAAGGCAGCCGCAGCGTTCCTCATTAGAGGACTGCCTGTGAACAGCAATAGCAGCATGTGCCATCGGGGACAGATGCTCTCCAAACAAAGTGGGAAGCTGCGTGTGTACTGAGAAAGGAGGAGGAAGGGCTGCAAATAAATGCAAAGGAGGCACAACAAGAAGACAGCACGGCACAGCGACATCTCTGGGTCAGAGCCAAAGCCACCGGTAAGAAAAGAACAACATGTTTCTATTTAAAAACAATAACAGCTACTGAGAACAACTAAGTATCCAAAAGCTGGAGAGTGATAAGAGGGAGTACTATGCAGGTACAGAATCACGAGAAAGAAACCAGAACAGAAGCGATGGGGGGGGGGGTGTTCTCTTTGTTTCACAGGTCAATTAGAACAAGAAAGCACATCCCTGCTCGCTGATGAGCTTGCTTCTGCTTCTGCTGCTGTCTAATTAATGCTTGAATTAACTCGGCAAATACTGCAAAGGAGAAAGTACCATTAACTATCTAGGGGTGATAAAGAGAGCAACACAAGAAACAGACTTCTTCAAATCTTGGGAGAATGTTGACCAAAACCAGGGATCTAAAGTTAGCAAGAACAGCTCACTAGGAAGCAGAAGGCTTGAGAAGAGCAATAAGTTCAGAAGGAAACTTAAGTCAAAAGGTTATGCATTACAAAGCAATGGGCCCCAGAACTGTGCAAACTTGCAAAGAAAATGAAATTTCCCCGAAATGCAATTGCTTCTGAGAAAATAAAAACAAAATCTCAAAGCTCCTGCTACCAAAAACAAATAAATAAATAAAATAAAACCTAAAGAGGGGGCAGAGGGGTAGCTCAGCCAATTAACCCTTACAAGCATGAGGACTAAGTGTGATCAGTGTGATCGCTAGGACTCAGGTTAAGAAAAGGGAAAAGAAAGAAAGAGAGAGGTAGGTATAGCAACATGTGCTTGTAATCTGAGGGCAGATACAGGCAGATCCAGGACTGCATTCCCAGCCAGTGAGAAATCCTTTGGAAAAATCCAAATGGGACAAATTCTGAAGAATGACACGAAAGATTGATCTCTTCTGACCTCCCCCCAACACACACACACACACACACACACACACACACACACACACAGGGATACACACACACAGATACACACACACACACACACAGATACACACACACACAGACACACACACACACAGACACACACAGATACACACACAGACACACACAGATACACACAGACACACACAGATACACACACACAGACACACACACACACACACACACACACACACACACACACACGCATGGGGATCACAGTGACCCAGACCTACAATTCCAGAGCTCAAGAGATATGGAAGGAGGAAGAGCATGAATCTGAGGCCAGCCTTGGTTACATAGGGAGACCCTGCTTCAAAAGGCAAAACAAAACAAAAGCCAGGCAGGAACAGAACAAACTCACACTGGCATCTAGATACAGAGAGCAATGCAAAGTATTTAAGGAAAACATTAGCAAACAGAATTTGGTGCTACATAAAAAGATCGAGCAGCTCAAGACCACAAACCATCTTAGGAAAGCAAAGACATGTATTCCTTATGATGACAGATGACAAAAAAAAAAAAAAAAAAAAAAGAAGAAGAAGAAGAAGAAAGAAACAATCTCCATCATCTCTGTGAGACTGGCAAATTAATTACTAATAGAAACATCAGCATTGAATGGGGAACACAGGAAGTGACCACCCTTGCTCCTTGTCCTTAGCCATATGAAGAGTAAATGCATATTCTTTGCCCCAGAATCTTATTCCTAGTGATTTATTCCAAAGAAATAAGCACATGTGCTCAAAGCGAGATACAAATATATTCCTAGCACTAGAGAAAAACCAGACTAGTATATCATTCTATTCTGTCATAGGGCATGATCTCTTCAGCACATGTGATCAAATGTAATACCCGTGCTTAGCTTCATAATAACACACACAAAAGCAAGCCAGGAAGAAACCCTTGCCCAATTGCATGCAAGACAACTGCCAAAACTAGAGAAAACATTGTCCTCTATAAAAACAAGGAATAAAAGGAACATTGGGAAAGATGGGCAAAAGCTGTTTTCATTTACAGGTTGCATAATTTTCTTTGTAGAAACCCCATGTGAACCAAATAAAAAGGGATTAAACTCATGGGAGAATTCAAAACTGTAGCTTAGGCAAGAAATCACAGAAACTGATCACTTCCCTATATGACCCCAATAACCCATACTACAATGAAGGAAAGATCCCTAGACTCGACATAGGTCCAGGCTGGGGAACACCTCAGAGTAAGCAAATGGCAGCAAGAAGGACTCCACAGACAGAGAATTTTGTCCTGTTCTTAGAGAAAATCAATCCTCCCCCAAACTGTTACATAATTCAATACAGATTTCCACTGGACCTTTTCTTATAACTTACCAAGGATATTCTAAATTCTACCTGACTAAGTGAATGTGTGAAAAATGTTCAACAGAACAAATAAGAAATTTACATAAAGGTACTAAAACATACAGGGTCACAGTAGCTGGCACAGCCGCCTGGGCAGGCATGTGAATAGTACAAAGGTAAAGGTCTCCAACCCACAGTGCATAGATGTTTGTGACAAATAACTTTTCAGCATATAAGATTCTGTAAGAAGACTGAGAATTGGAAATGTGCAGCCACCAAAACTATAAAAGTAGAAAACTAAGCAACATTTTAAAACTGACCAAATTATACATACATTTCTTAAAGATACATCAATAAATCTAAACCACAACCATGTTGTGAAGCAGTTAAGAGGAAATTGGTTGTATAGCTTAAGCTGATGGAAACCCTTTATAAACAAGAACTAAGATTGGGGATCATGAAGATGAAGCCTGAGGCCTGAGGACTCCAATTCATGGAAGTCATGCTGGCCTGGGAACATGATGAAGTAGCCAAGAGATGCCATTGCTCCTCAGCTGATCTGAAAGTCAATCAGCCAGAGGACAGAACAAAAGAAGTTCACAGGAATGTCCCAAATAAGAACAAGACACCAAAAAGCTGCTTAAAAGTAAGGGCCCGGGCCCACAAACAACACAGAGAAAGAGACACGCCAATCAGAAGCCGCCATCACCCTCCCCAGGACTGTGCACCATCAAAGGACAGTACTGCAAGTACAGGGAATGTCGGGGAACAAAGCCACCAAGGGGGATGTGATTTCTTAAAGCATTTTAGCAAAATGGTGAAGGATCTAAAACGTTACATGTATATCCCTTTGACCAGCAATTCCACCTCTAGAGATTGATTTGAAAGAGAAACTTAGAAATGCTCAAAATTATGCACAAAATTATTCCCACGACCTTTCATAATAATTAAAAATGGAATAACATGCCTGGTCCAACACTAGAGGAATAACTTACTAATTTGTGTGTCAATGTTACAGCATATAATACAGCTGTGACAGAGCTTATCTTCCACTCCCCTATATCGTCTTTGTCTCTCCCTTCCCTCTTTGTTCCAGGGACACTCACCATTATAGAGCCAACCACAGGGCCTTTGATCACCCACCACAGAGCTGTGCTGTCATTCATATCCCAGCAGCTAAAAGACAAGGGGGAGAAATCACAACAGACGCCTGCAGAACATCACATGGCTAGCTGGGGGCCTGTACTTTTCTCCCCTGTACCCCCTGGCCAGGGCAATCTGGAAGTTGAGGTGGACTGGCTAGAAGAATACCCCTCACCCGAGGCCTGCTTTTTCCCTCTGCTCCTCTGTCATGGCAGAGACTGGAGCCCAAGAATCAGGGTCACAGTGGGATCATTGGAAGGGACATGTCTTCCATTCAGATCCAGGGTCTTTAACCTTGGGGTTGAGAGTGACCCCATCTTCAACACTCTTCCTCCTCCTCTCCAGAGGGGCTCAGAAATGTACCCAACCTCTTGCTGGGGTGTCACTTAAGACAAGGCTGAGAACAGGGTGACACTGAGGAGGCGCCAGGGACCAGGCTTAGGTCTGGGGCTGAGACAGGGCTGATCATATTGGGGAACACTCAGGTGTTGTCTAGGGCTGGGTTTTATTCAGGGGACATGTTGGGGAGTTTATGTGAAGCCAAGCAGGCACTGGGAACCCCTGCCTGGAGATGTACTCTGTGATTCAGCCTCATTCTGGGGCTGTACTCACCCAGCGTCGTCAAAATAGAGCCTCAGCACAGCCCACACAGTCACGCACACAGTAGGGGTCCCTGGAGAACAGGAAAAGGAAATCCAGCTTGCCCAGGACACTCTCAGCCTTGGGTGGGTGGGGGGTCATGGGGGCCAAACTATTCCTCATACTTCAGCTTCTCGTCATACTTTCCATCTCCCCCAGCTTCAGGCCATCTGGTCTCCCAAGATGACCCCTGGGTATAGCTCTCCCTCAGAAAATGGGGTCCCACAGGAAGGAAGTAAAAAAGGAAATGGTTCTAAGAACTAACAAGAAGCCCACAGCCTGGTGAGGGCTCTGTTAGCTGATGTTTCCAAAAGGTGGGACCAAAGACACAACTGGCCAGGAGGCCTGAGCCCACGTGGGCCCAGCCAGTGACCTACCCCAGCCAATGATGGTGTACCAGTAGAAGTATCTCCTCTCAGGGAAGAAGGTTTCCACCAGCAGTGTGAAGAGGTACAGGCCTTCAATGAACAGCCAGAAGTAGTTGGACACCACGCAGTAGTGAAAGAAAACCATGACAGCTTTGCATTCCACCTACACAGACAGCAGAGGGAAGATGAGCTCTCTGCCCTGCCCCCAGGTCAATCCTGAAATCCAGCTCCACAGAACAGGCGAAATGCTGAGGCCTATCAGCACTGGCCCACTCAGCCTCAGGTGCCCCTAGGGCCTAAGATTATAGGCATTCATGGATGAAGGAGGCAGAGTACACAGCATCCTAGGACTTGGGATAACCTTCCCAGCCAGGACCATGCTGTACAAGACAGGTGATAACAGGCTAAGGCTGAGCACATAGTAGGTAGAGACACAAACCTTGGTCCTGGGAAGTCTCTTCTCAAACAGATCCTCAAACCACGCCCTTTCAGTGAAGCCCTCGCCTAGTCTGTTCTTATCCTTCTCTATCATAAGCCAGTTCTCTGCATGTATCTCCTTCACACATCCGTGCTTGGGAAGCATCTGCAAAGATCCTAGACAGTTGGCACACAGATTTCCGCATGTCTGGTTACACAGCAAAGGGCTTTCTCACACGGCCTTCCTGGCCCAAGGTCCAGGCTGAGGGCCTGTGTAGCTGGATTTTTCTTTGGGCCGCTGGCCCATAAATAATGGTACAGACACTTATTAATTATGAAAGGTCATCCTTAGCCTAGGCTGGTCCCACTAGCTCTTATAACTTAAATTAACCTGCTTTTATTAATCTACATTTTCATTCTGTATGTCCAACTCTCCATATCGGCTTTGGGTCTCCTCTGCTCCCTCTTCCTCTTTCTTTCTCTCCCTGGAAATCACACCTTCCTAGCTATTGACCGTTCAGCTTTTTGTTACACCGATCACAGCAAAACATCTTCGCACGGTGGACAAATGCCCCACAACAGGCCCGACTGTGTTTTGTCTGGGAGTGGAGTCATACACTGGCTACAGTAATCACTCCATAACTCCTGCCCTCCACACGTCCTGGGATGAGGCTTTCGCCTGCAGAGACACCTTCTCTTTAGAGCACTAGCAGGGCAGAGCCTGGGTGTCTGGGCTGCTTGACTCACTTACAGTGGAGATGAAACAGTGACTGCTGTCCTGCTCAGCATACAAAATCCAGTCTTTGATGAAGACGGAGATGGCCCTCAGCATGAAGGACACGAACAGGTTCATGTGAATGAAGTTTCGGGTGCAGTGCAGCTTCCTACATGGACCAGGATGGAGAGGCCATGAACTACTACTCAGCATGCCACACCCTCGGAGGGCGAGACGTCTGCTCTGGGTCTACTCATAGCTCATCTTAATGGGGCTCCCTCTCCCAAACCACCCTCTTCTCCCACCATGATAATCCTCTGTCTTCCCCACCCTGGTCATCTGATAGCCAGACTTCTCCCTCCTACCGCCTCTCTACCTAGATTAGGGAGATGAAAACAAACAAAGGAGATTTCTGGAAGGGGTAGTGCCTGAATGTGTGGTCCTGGAAAAGTGAGCTGCCCTCTCAGGCCACCTTCCCACCTACTGTGCTAGGGATAGGGACATCCCAGGGATGGTGGGAGGTGAGCACTTTGAACGGGATGGACAGTTCTGGCTATAACACTACTGGGCTCTCACCGGAAGCGGCACAAGATGACCATGGCAGTGGTGAGGGTGGCGAGGGAAGTACTGTAGCCGACTGTGTAGAGGGCCTTCACCGACAGGTAGTAATAATCCTGGAGCAGGGCACAGGACACGCAGGGCTCCACTTGGGACCAGCCACTACCTCCTAGAACCCACACCCAGCGTCCCAGACCAGGGTCTTCCCACCTGTAGGCCCAACATCTCCCCCTCTCTGCCATCACTTCACTCCTGGCAGGATGCCTGCTCCTCTCTGCAAAAGGTCGGTACTCCAAACATGCTCGGAAAGTACTGAAGGCAAGGGCCCCAGTCGATCAGAACAGCAAGCAGCCTCAGCCACCTGAGAAGTGTGGGAAAAACTCCCTGCTAGCCCAGCATTGAGCCCTCAATTGCTAGTCTACATGGAAGGCACTGTCCTGAAAAAATAACCAGGATTGAGGGGAGCTGCGATGGGACAGAGCCCCAGCAGGGAGAATGAACACCCTTCCCTCCATGCTTCTGGCTCAGTATTCAACAGGAGCTCATGTGTGCTCTCCAGAGCCCTGAGCTCCTCAGAACTAACCCTCCACCTGGCTTACCTGATCCCCAGACTCAGGCTCATAGTCATCAAACCCACAAGCATCGAAGTAGTGGGGGAAGGGCTCTGACCAGCCATCCTCTGTGCAGTTCCGGCCCACGACCCCCATGTCTGCAGAGAACAGAAAGCTAAGCAAGGTTGTAAATAGCCTTACATGACCCTGAAGATGTTTCAGAGTGGGAATTCCTGAAAACCCATGTGTTCGCCCGGAGGCTCCAGCTACAAGGCCCAAGACTGAGTGATTGCTGGAGAACTGGCATTCCTCTTTCATTAATGACAGGATGAATGGGCAACCTGATCCCTTAACCAAGAATCCAGTATGCCTGCACCTCTCCTGTAACACTCACCCGAAGAGAATCTGGAGCCTGCCCCCAGGCCCTGGATCAGCACTTCTTAAAATGTCAACGTGCAGAAGCATCTAGAAACTTGTAACACTGCTTTCAAATCCAACCCCAGTCTCAACCTCAACTCCAGCCCCAGGCAAGGCATCCAGTATGTCCAAGACCTCATTGGATGAGGTAGGGTAAGAATTTGATACCCTGCAGCTGGGGCAGCTCACACCCATGGGGCACCTGGCTTTACTGTTTTTTAGCAATCCCAGGCCTAATCTCTCTCTCTCTCTCTCTCTCTCTCTCTCTCTCTCTCTCTCTCTCTCTCTCTCTCTCTCTCTCTCTCTCTCCCTCTCCCTCTCTCTCTCTCTCCCTCTTCCTCTCCCTGTCTCCCTCTGTCACTCACTTCCAACCTTACAAAACTCAGTGGACCTTTGTCGTTTTGTTGATTTCTTTTTGCCTTTCAGAGTGTTGTAGTCTGTCTCCTGCCATCAGAGTGCATTCATTCTCTTTGTATTGACTTTAAGGCCATTGTGTGGGACGCTGGAGGGACCGAGCAGCCATGGCTACTGAAAGAGGCATTTGCTACCTGCAAAGCAGAATGTAGGCTATTCTTCATGTGAATGGGTTACTTCAACCTTGAATGGCATCGTGCCATTTTGAGCCTGTGAGAGCCACTAAGGCCCAGGAAAGTACAAGGCAAGTAGGCCTTTTCTTCCAGCCAGCGCCAGATACTTGTCCCTAGCTGGCGGCTCAAGACTTACCCATCTCTTAGGAAACATTGAAAGGGTAGTTTTAAAGCCCCAGAGACAGAACAGAGACTTTTAAACTTTAGTTGTACACCCTGGTCACTGTGTAGAGCACGGAATCTGGGGTCTCATCCTGCACTCTCTGATACAGTCAGTTATAGCTTTCAGAGACCAGCGACTTGTGCATGGTAAGAGATCACTGTGGATAGGGAGTTTGCAGCACACACTGCTGGAAGGATCCTGTCCTCTGTGATCAAGGTAGCCTCTGAGGAGGTGGTAGGTCAGTGCGGGGCAGAGGGAGGGGGAAAGACCCCCACTTTTCTAACCAGCATCTCTTCTTGCTGGTAGACTTGGAAGGTGTAAGGCCAATGCCTTCAGCCAAGAGCGTTGGACATATCCTCCCTAGGACTGGGAGGAATGGGACTGGGAGGGATGGCAGAGCAGTGTCCCCGCCCAGGAGAACAATCTGCTCAGAATGGGAGGGTCTCTGTAGCTTCTCTGACACCTGGGACAAGCCAAGAATGGACTGCAGCAGGCCAGGGACGTCACTCTTGGCAATGTCACCAGACTGTCTCCTCTTGAGAAAAATGTGTCTCGGGCTGCTGCTGGCAACCTCCTTGCAAGGCTCCTGAACAGTTCAGAACCTGATGCCCCCCCCAACCCCATCTCCTCTGGGAGCCAGATGGCCAAGCTACGGCCCTCTCTGGGCTTTGGTTGACTCTGCCTTGCCTATGTCACAGAGGTAGAAAGAAGAAAGGGAATAAAGGTGCACAGGAATTTGAAAAATCAATTAAAAAAAAAAGAAAAGAAAAGAAAAGAAAAGCTTCCTAGAGGGAAAAGCCATTTCCTGTCTTTTATTTCCCCTCTTTATTTTAATAACACGATGTAGGCTCAGAAAAACATAAACCCCTTTCTTCCCAAAATGGTTCTGTGAGTATTGTTCTGATAGAAATCTCCGGAAGATGGGGCACTCTCCAGATTGTCACAAACTCACAGTGACAGCATCTCTTTCACTAGGTTGTTTTGCACCAGCAATGCCGTAGGAGCATAGCACGCTCCCTGATAGGGCTGGCCATGCATCTGGCCCCGTTCCAGCTGGCCATATCAGAGGCTCGGGTGGTACCCCGATCTGCACTTTCCCATGTTTGCAGAGAGCGGGGATGAGACAGGGAGGCTGCGTCTCACTCAGCCACGGCGCATCCCTGTGGGCACACAGCCTCTTGCATCTGCAGTCTCACCAGGCTGTACGGCTGTACGGCTGTGATGCCCAGGCTGGTGCATGGCTTGACCCCATCCAGGTGACTGCAGTGCAAAACTCTGAGAACCTCTGTGGGAGGTTCAAAGCCACCAAAGCCTCATAATCCAGAGGCTCCCCACTCACAATACATGAAGGGGCTTCAAGACAGCCCTAGCTCCCCCCACCCCAGCACATGATTATGTGCATGATGGATGTACCATCTTCTCTCTGGGGACCTAAGTGCCATCTTCCAAGGAGACAACACCCAGCTTTCTCGGAGAGAACACCCAGACACTCAAGTCCCCACACAGGATAAAGTCCAGCTACAAAGTGGTTCTTGGAGCTCTCACAGCAGCCGCCCTCCACCCTCATCAGCCCAAGCAAGGTAGTTCCTCCAGCTTTCCGCTTACCTGTGATTTCCAAGGAATTACTGTCGGCAAAACCAGAATCCCCTGCAAAACACAAATGTGGGTCAGAATGCTGCGTTTATCAACTGGCCCCCTTATCCAAGGCTAAGGCTGCCCAGTCTGCAGCGAGTGGGGTGGGGATCAAGAGGCTGCATCCCACTCAGCAGCTGCACATCCCTCTGGCACACACTCCCTTGCACCAATCTCACAAGGGTGGCAGCTGCATGGCTAAGATGCTCAGAATGGCCCATGGCTTGGTCCCCACCAAAGAGCCTCCCGGGTGGGCAAAGAGGAGTGGATAAGCCAGGGCCTTGGGGTGTCTTCTTGAAGTTCAACCCCCACTGCTGCTCCAAGTCTTCTTTAACTGAAAGAACCCTCAAATCCCAAAAAGTTCATCTGCAGTTTCTCCCCACCTTTATTCTGATGTTTGTCTAAGGACAGCCTAGAAGTTAGCCCCATTTCCTCTCAACTTTTCAAAATCCATCTCTAAGCTGAAGTGGCAGCTCCTTCAGGAGTCTGCCCTGACCTCTTCCCTGCCCCCCTGGGTGATCTGCCCTTAATTCTCTTCTCTTCTCTTGCTCAGTAGGTACCCTTCCCACCTCCCAATGACAGTCTCTGCATGGACTCACAAACAGGGCCAGCCCACCCCTCCATTGGTGATAAACTCCCGACCCAGCTTTAAGCCAGTCACTGTGTCCTCCATCTCTCCTAGCCTCCATGATGGCCAAATTGTGGGATGGAGGGAAGAAACTGGCCCCTGGTGCTGTCATGCACACTACTCTACCCGACCATCATTCCAGCAGCCAGGGGCATTGGATCCCCTATGGTTGGACTCCTGCTAGGCAGATGGAACTGTGTCTGTCCTCTCAAGGGTCCTCTTACCTATGGTTTCTGTCATCCACACTGTATGGGGAGAGACGGGGAGAGAGAGGGAGAGAGAGAGAGAGAGAGAGAGAGAGAGAGAGAGAGAGAGAGAGAGAGAGAGAGAGAGAGAGCATGAATATGATTGCAGGGCTGATGAAGTAAGGTCTGTCCTCATAGGGCATTCTCCCCCGAACCCCCAACTCTGAGAGAGCTCTGTCACGGTCCTGAAGGCCTGAGGATCCCATGCTAGGATCTAGCAAGCTCGGGGAGGCCTCTAACTCCACCCCCATGTCAGTCCCTGAGGAGGAAGAGGAGGCATTGGCCAGGGCTCCCACAAAGCCAACACCTTCAGAAGGCCACTGTAGCTGAGCTTCCCAGGAATGAGAAGCAGAGCGACTGCAGTTCCCTCCCTTCTGTGGGGAGGGCAGGCCTCACTACCAGGCTTTGTGAACAGAGGTGCTAAAGGCCCTGCTTTAATGAACCATTAAGAGCAAGGTGTAAATAACATTCCCTGCTCCCTGAGGCGGGTGCAGCTGAGGAAAATCATTTTACCCCTCATTCCTGTCACCTCTTGTGGCTGCTGCTGTAGGGGAAGAAAAAGTTCTTGTGGCTGGAATTTTGCCTAGGGAGGATGTTCCAGAAGCTTCAGCTAACTAACTGAAATAAAGCAAGGGGCACATGGAGGAAGTGATTAAGCTGGCTTCTATGAGAATAAATCTTAGGAGCTGGGCCTTGTCCCAGACAGCCTCTCTCTTCCCTCTATTCACTCTGCCTCTCTACCTAGATCCTCCTCCAGAATTTACCCTCTGGCCTGCTCTGGGGCCAAGCGCTCAGGGTGGGAACATTCAGAAACCTGCTTCTTCTGGGCCAGCAGGAGGTGGACAAGATGTGGGTTTAAAGAGAGGAGGGCTATATAGATAAATCCCCACCTTCTCTGTGCTCTGGGTGGGAACCAAAGATGGAAGTCAAGGACCCCAAAGAATACCACTCTGTCTCCTTCTCCTGCAAGACAGGGTGGAGGCTTGCGGCCTCCCTCTGATCTCCCAGAACAGGCCTGACACCAGCTCCATGATGTCAGGCACACTGGGGTCCTTCCTGTCTTTGGGTAGAGTTTTTCCTTGTTCCATGTTTCACATTTCTGTATCCAGTATCACAGTGCCCATTCCATGGGATCCAAATCTGGCCCCAGGAAGTCTACACATCATTTTGATGGTACCAGAGATCATGAGCAGACATGCCATGTGAACTCTACCAAACCCTCCACCCAGCTTTGGTTTCCTGGCACAGGCTGGTTTGTCTTATGTCAACTTGACATGCAAACTAGAGGTATCTGAAAGGAGAGAACCTCAATTGAGAAAATGCCTCTATAAGATCAAGCATAAGGCACTTTTTAAAATTAGTGATTGATGGAGGAAGACCCAGCCCATTGTGGGTGATGCAATCCCTGAGCTGGTGGTTCTGGGTTCTACAAGAAAGCAGACTGAGCAAGCCAGTGAGTAGCACCCTCCATGGCCTCTGCATCAGCTCCTGCCACCAGGTTCCTGCCTTGCTTGAGTTCCTGACTGACTTCCTTTGGTGATGAAACAACAATGTGGAAGTGTAAGCCAAATAAACCCTTTCCTCCCCAACTTGACTTATTGGTCATGGTGTTCATTGAAGCAATAGAAACCCTAACCAAGACACATCATCACACACATATCCCTGAAGCCAGTATCCACATGTCACAGACTACTTGGTGTCCAAGGCCATTTCCTGGACAGCTAGGGATAGAGGAACAGGACTCCAGCTCCTCTTCCCGAATCGTCATCTGAGGGCAGTAAGGACCAGGGACATGCTTTGCTGAGCAAATGTGTGTGCTGGTGGGCTGGAAGACTAGCTATCAGGCTGGAAGGTTAGGTACCTGCCCACATAAAGTGGTTGAAGAATATAACACAGGTGTCTGATCATACAGCCCCATACATATGTTCCTCCAGGCCTCTGTGACATCTCCATGGATATGTCATCATCATGGTAAATGTGATGATGTCAGCTAACTTTACTTCTGAATATGCAAAATGCACTAGGTGAGGTGTTACATAGCATCTCTACAAGTGACCTCACTTTATCCTTACAGACCACCTGGAAGACAGCCACTGTGTCACATTACCATCTGCTAAACCAAAACTTTGAGGATGGCCTGCCTTGCTGAAGGTTCCTAAAGTGGTAAGCAGTAGAGCTGCCGTAGCCCAGATTGCTCTCACCTACCAAGACACTCTCCTGGCAATGCATACCAGGCACTAGGTGCTGTTGGAGAAGTGTTTCCATGGCCTATACCAACATGAAGAACACCATCCCATCCTGTCTGCCATCTGTCCATCGGGTACCTGAGTTCTTGAAGCTAAACTCCAGGCAGGAAAATAGCTTTGTGGATTTCAGGTTAAACCAACACAGCTGGGAGAGATTCTGGGCTCTACTTACCTTGGTCTGGGTTGAAGATCCTGAAGACCTCAGGGCAGCTCACAAGGACCATCTCACCTATTTGAGCAGGTTTCCAACATGTGATATTGTCCCACATGCCAGGGCAACCTGGAGGAGAGAGCTACCTTGAGTGTGCCTAGCCATGTACACACCACGTGTACACAAGTACACATACCACAACCAAACGCAAACACACCATACTCATCTACATATGCAGGTACACATACTCACAACACATAAGATAGATGCGTACACATGTATGCCCCTCTGTAACGGTTAGCTTAAAATATTAACTTGATTTAGAATCACCTAAGAGATGGTGAGGCACCCCTCTGGTGATGGTGAGGGCATCTCCAGAGAGGATTAACTAAGGAGAAAAGATCCACCCTGAATGTGGGTGGTATTACCTGTGGATGGGCTGGTAATCTGGGCAAATTAAAAGGAGGAAAGGAGAAAGCTAGTAGGTGCTAGCATTCCTGATTTCTTTGCTTCTTAGGCACCATACATGAGCTGAGCTATTATTCTACTGAGCTTCCCCATCCACAAACAGAGCTCTTGAAACTTGAACTAAAATAGATCTTCCTTTAAGTTATAGCTATTAGGTACTGCAATCAGGTGATAATAATGATAAATGACAGCCACACACCCCCCCCCCACACACACAGTATGAACTGCTCAGAAGTTGACCCTTGCACAAGGCAAACAGTTTATAAGGAGAAAGATAAGTAAGTCTTCTTGTATGGGGAATGCTTGCTCCTGCACCAGGAAAAGACCTCCAGGAGTAGTTCAGAAAGACACTGTAGGGACTCCAGAGCAGGAGGCTCTGTGAAAGGAAGGCCTTCTTCTCCATGGCACAGTTTGCCTGCAGCCTGCCAGGCACCTGCATTCTCCTGGTCTCACCACCATTGTGGGCTCTGGCAACATATTCACCTCCACAGTGTGGCTCACTTCTCCAAGGGAGTAGGGTAGAGGCCAGACTAGCCGAGCTGAGGCTGCACCCCACAGCCCACCTCCTTCCCGGCATAGGCCTGGAGCAAGGATCTGCCACACACAAAGCTGACCCTGAAGTGAGGTCACAGTTTCCCCAGCTGAGAGGATGGAAAGTAATCAGACAGAAGCTTGGAAGTGACTTGGAACCGAAAGAGGTGATGGAGGCAGAGTCCTTGAGGAGGCCAAGGTCAGAGCCCTATGGTGGGCACTGGCTAGCAGATGGGAAGGGGCAGGTACACAGGAGACTTAGGAATCGTGTCTTCCTGGAGCGAGTGGTGAGGAAGAAATGTATTTCAGGCTCAACTAACTCTGATTTGGGAGGTGTGGTGGCTCCTGGGATCCCCCTGTCCTGTGAATTTTCTCCCCAAATGGCCACCATCTCTCCCCACACCTCCTCTGCACTGCGGCAGCACTCATCAAGGTCAACTACAACGTCTTCCCTGCCAAATCTGGGGAACAATTTCATTCAACTCCAGCTGAGCTGTATGCTGCCCACCTGACTGACTGGCTACAGATTTGGGAGTCGTCCTGTCTTGGGCCGCCTGCCACTCACCTCAGATGAGCTCACCAGCTCAGGTACTTAATCGAATCACATTTAGACATGTCTAGTCCTTGGCCTCCAGCCACTCTCTGGGCTGACTCCAATGTCAGTTACCTACTGCATTTTCTCACTTTGGAGGTGCAAAGTCAAGTCAAATGCAGAAGTTCTGGACTCCACCCAGACCCTCCTACTAAACCTACATCTGTTTCAGCCCAGCGAGATACCTGAGAGTCACTTACACCATGCCCATCATATGCGGCATCAAGTCCTGCTTGGTTCCCTCCCGACATACAATGGAACCTATCATTCTTCACTGGGATCACAACCTCCTCCTGCATCTCCCACAGCTAGGACCAAAATGTCTTCAAACGGCATGGCTTTGTGTCTCCCTGCATCAACCATTAAAACCTGTCTTCTTCATACCCTAACTCATAAGTGTGACACCTGCTGTCCATGCCCTGCCTACCTGTCCCTGTCCCTACCTGGCCTGCCAAGCTTACTTCCTGTTGAGCATCTGAGTGGTGAGACATGTCTTTTTTAGTTGTGAGCCTGGCCTTTAGTGGCTGAGCCATCTCTCTAGCTCGTGAGTCATGTCTCCCAAGGAAAGGATGTGAAGAAGAACAGCAAGGGGGAGGAAGCCCCAGGGTACCACACTTAGGGGTTAACAAAGGAAGCATGTGTAGTGACGCAGTGGAGAAAATATGCCAAAATGCAGGGGTGAGTGGGGTGGGGAGGGGAGCAGAGCATGTCAGACAGCAGCAGAGAGCTTCAGGAAAGGAGCCTGACCTACAGAGGGTCTTCAGGTGGGAGAACTTCACTGTCGCATAATGGAAGGGAGTGACTGCCCACCTCCCACCTCCCAGGACTGCTGGGGGGGGGAGGGAATTAATGATTTCCTGTACAGAAAGTTCCATGATCAGCATCATGCTGATTTCACGCATGTTGGCTGCCACTGGCCTTAGTTCCCTTATTTCAACTAGATATTCCTGGGGGTCACTCCCTAGAGGGGCAGCCCTGCTGGTGACATAGAAAGCTGCTGACAGACACAGAGCAAACCTGAGCATGCAGAGCGGTGGCCTGGGCAGGGTTCCTGACCTCATGCCTCCTCTGTCACAAAAATGTCTTCGGGCAGCACAAGGCATTCTCAGCTTCTAGGTCTCTCAGAATTTAGACCTAGCTTCTTTGGCATTCACACTAATGACACTGGCCGCCTGTGGCATCCTGCTTATGGAACGACCCCCTCTGGGAGCTAGGAAAACAGTTAAAGCTGAGTTTAAGTATACAGACACTCAGGGGACCAGATGAGGAAAGTCATCTATGTCCCATCAGGCCACTATCAACGATTCCTGTCCACCCAGGATGTCTCACCAGCACACAATTGGCTGTGACATCATGTCCTTGAAAGAGACCCAGTAGTACATCTTTGGCTGCCATGGCCCATGCTAACTGTGAAATGCCCATGAAGCATGGCCATCTCTGGCCCATACCCCAGAAGCCCTGGCCATCAGATGTTCCCATAATTGGAATATTAGGCCCTGGCACAACCAGCTGCTATTCCAGCTGACAATGCTGAGGTCAGGGAGTCACACAGAGGGCTGCGGGGCAAGGAGTGGCAGCATCCAGGATCCTGAGCCGGAGGCAGGATAAGTGATGCATGGTCGTAATAAGCTTTCTCAGTGACTTCCCTGTGCCAGATGTTCATGAAGCTCACAAGAGGACAAAGATGTAGGAAGGACAGAGAGGGCCTCCCTTCTGAATTGGCCTAGAAGAGCCCAGATTTATATATGGTCACTTCTGCTATGATTCACAGGCCAGTGTCAGAGCAAGGGCCAGGTGTGTGTTGGTACCCCAACTGTGAGTGGCCAGAGCTGGGGTCTGGAACAGATAGTTCGCAGGACTGTCTGCTGCCTCAGGGGTGGCAAGAGCCACTGGGACTACTTTCTGATGTATCTGCCAAGTACCTTTTCCAGGATTCTCAAGGATATACCTGTCACAAGCCTAAAAAATCTCCCAGTCTTAAATTCTGTCCCCAGTTTTGTCTTCTCATGAGACCAGGATATCAAGAAAACCCAGAACAAGATCTCCAGGACCTCGGGACATATGAGTGTGACCACCTCTAGACAGGACAGGAGGTGGGCTCTCAATAGGGTCTTTGGGTTTTCTAGCGGAGACAGAAACGATGTCCCCGCCACACACAGAGCACACATGCATTTTCCACAGCTCAGCACAGTTAATTTTGGTGGCAGCAGAAGCCTTCACAACGCCTGTGCTCTTGCACGCCCCTCACCCTTCATCCTTTTCTCTCTCCACTTTCTACTTTTCCTTCTCATTTGCTCATTAATTCAAAAGAAATGAAGTGAAGACACAATGGATTCAGCAGTACAGATAAAGCAAAGGCAGCCGGTCTGAGCCTCACAGCTTAACATGGTTTGCAGTACTATGCTGAGTGAGTGTTATGCTAGTTCCCTATTGGGGCTGGAGGTTTATAAGGCAAGTTAGTATCTTTGGGCAGCACAAGTTACTGTCATACCATCCTGGAGGAAAGAGGCCTGGAATGGGTCTCACACAGCCAAAACGGGGCATCAGCAAGATGCCAAATTCAAGTGCTCACCGGTGCTCCTTCCCCAGCTTCGAAATTAGGAGCTTAACTCCTAAGATTCCTCAACTCTCCCATCTCCTCTGCATCCATCCAGGCAACCCAAGGCACTCTCGCTATCACCAGATTATGTGTGAAGTCCCGCTGTCAGGTAAGGTCCCATATTTTCAGGTTTGGGCACTGAGATGTAAGAATATCTTTCCAGATGGTAGCAGGGGATGTTTCTGTGCCTTCCACAGAGAACTTGTAGGAGAGTGTCCCAGTGGTTCAGAGAGATGGCACTACTGCAAGAATGGGACAGAGAGCCATGCCAGGACATGGTGGTAGCCCAAGAACCATGAAAGGGACTGATTCAAAGTAACAGCAGCAAAGATGCGCAGAACTGTGTGGGGCAGAAACAACAGGGATGGTGAAGGACAGGGCTGGAGTGTGCTGTAGATGGCTCGTGCGCCCCAATATCATGACTACTTCCCTGAACTCTAAGCCCTTAGGAGGCGGAAAAGGTGAAATAGTCTCGAAAGCTACCCTCAGAGCCTCTACTGCCTTTCTCTGTCTTTCTTCTCAGCAGTACCCTTGAGACCACATACTGCTGTGCAATGCTTGTTTAACTAGTCAAAGATGTGTTGCATTTGTTTACTGATGGAAAAATGTATCGCTTTGCCTGCCTAAGGCACCTGATTGGTCTAATATAAAGCTAAATGGCTAATAGGTAGGCAGTAGAGGGATTGGGCAGGGGAGGCTGGTGGGCAGAGAGAATAAAGAGGAGGAGGAATCTTGGCTGAGGGGGAGAAAAGAACAAGAGAGAAAGAGAGGGAGACACCAGGAGCCAGACAGACACACAGACACATAGTAGAACATACAGAATGAAAGGTAAAAAGCCCTGAGGCAAAAGGTAGATGAAGAGAAACAGGTTAATTTAAGTTATAAGAGCTATTGGGACAAGCACAAGATAAGGCTGAGCATTAATCACTAATAATAAGT